GAAGAGGAGGAGGAGGAGGAGGGAGAAGAAGAAGAAGATGACGAAGAGGAGGGAGGAGAAGAAGAAGAGGAGGAGGAGGACGAGGAAGAAAAGAACGAAGAAGAGGGGAGAGAAGAAGATGAGGAGGAGCAGGAGGAAGAAGAAGAAGAAGAAGAAGAAGAAGAAGAAGAAGAAGAAGAAGAAGAAGAAGAAGAAGAAGAGGAAGAACCCAAGGGAGCTGAAGCAGCAATGAAAAAAAAAAACAAAAAAAACTGGCTATGGCTAACAGAGGAGGAGAAGAAGAGGAGGAGGAGGAGGAGGGAGAAGAAGAAGATGACAAAGAAGAGGGAGGAGAAGAAGAAGAGGATGAGGACGAGGAGGAAGAAAATGACAAAGAAGAGGGGAGAGAAGAAGAGGAGGAGGAGAGGAGGAAGAAGAAGAAGAAGAAGAAGAATAGTGAAAACAGGGGCCTTGAGGCAGCAACGAAAAAAATAAATAAATAAAAAATTATCGGGTATGACTGACGGAGGAGGAGGAGAAGAAGAGGAGGAGGAGGAGGAAGAAGAAGAAGAAGAAGATAAGGAATAAGAGGGAGGAGAAGAAGAGGAGGAGGAGGAGGAGGAGGAGGAGGAGGAGGAGGAGAAGAACACAAGCCGATGGCTAAGAGAGGAGGACTAGAAGAGGAGGAGGAGGTAGAAGAAGAAGAGGAAGCGGAGGACGACTATGGCTAACGGGCGAGGAGAGTGACCACAAAGAAGAAGAAGAAGAAGAAGAAACAAACCTGGGGGCGTGATGGAGTGGGTCGTTGGCGGGGGGGCGCGATGGCGTGGCTGGCTGGCGGAGATGACGATGGCGATGCTGCACCCCGCGGAGACCTGCCGACGATGGCGCGACTGCACCGAGTGATGGCGCGGCTGGTTGGCGGTGGCGACGATGGTGCGGCTGGCTGTCGGAGGCGACGACAAAGCGGCTGCACATACTGGAGGTGAGCGGGGTTGAACGCGCGATGCGTTTTCCCCCGCTGCGTGATCGGTTTCCCGGCACAACAGATTCAAACTAGTGGCCGATCTTTGCCGCTGATCTGCCACGATCGGCGGCAAAGATTGGCCACTTTTTGGACTTCGAAAACGCAGGCCTACAGGACCCGGTTTCGTCATTGCGGGGCAGGGCCTTCCCCCACGAGGCCTCCTCGACACGTACGCGCCGCCCAAAAAAAAATTCACGCCCCAGCAAAATTGCGCTGGGGGCGACCAGGAGGGAACCGGCCCGGTCCACCAGCCGGTCCAACTGGGAGGACCGCGGATGGGGTAGGGGTACCGGTCCATCCGGGGACCAGCCCTGCTTTCTCGTGAATTTTGTACTTCGGAATTGGCCAGGATCGTATCATTATGCGTATATTTCTGTTAAACAGAACTTGAAATTCTTAAATGAATAAATCAGATTGAACTTCATTGAAGGCCTCGTAAATGAAAAAATCAGACTGTAGCCCTGGAGGTGGACAGCAGGCTGGGGGAAGGTTTCCCACTGCTATGAGCAAAAAAATTCAAATATTCTAAGAGAAAAAAAAACTACCAGCCTATCACTCATCCATGCATACTTTGTATGATCCTTGTTGAATGGAGAACTACTCTGCTGGAAAAGTGAGATGTCATGAAGTTGTCTGTTGCCATGACTTGCCATTTTGTTAGTCCATAACTTCCTCCAATTTTTGTTGTGCTTGTGCTTAACATGTTACGTTTGATTTCATTCGGGGAAATGGGTTGGGTATTTTGCTGTTCAAAAAAAAAAAAACCACCTGTGTGGTTCAGTAATTGGGGATGTGAGAGGTCGCGGTCTGATGCTGGGAGTGGAGCTTGTGACTGATCTCAAGGCAAAGACCCCTGCAAAAGAGGAAACACTTATTCTTCATGAAAAGATGAAAGGTAAGCAGGTTGCTGCAGGTGGGTTCTTCACCTCTCCTAAGAACACAACGATGAGCTTAACAGTGCTTTACTGATGTCTCGGTTCGACTAGTGCATGTGCATGCTTGTGTGGGCATGTATATGCTCACTGTGGCCCTACTCTCTGGTCCTCTTCCCCCCCTTCTCCCCTTGTCTCTACCTTCTGCCATGCTCCCTTCCCCCTGCCCGCTTCTCTCTCCTAAGAACTTAACGATGAGCTTAACAGTGCTTTACTGGTGCCTCGGTTCAGCTAGTGCATGCTTATGCTTGTGTGGGCATGTATATATGCTCACTGCAGTCCAACTGTCTGGTCCTCTCTGGCCTCCTCTCCCCTTTTCTCTACCTTCCGCCATGCTCCCTTTCCCCC